GTCTGCTATCAGAGTTTTTTAGCAGAGGGCCCACTCATAGTGACGTTGAGTAGGTGATAAGTGTTCGGGGATCTACGATAAGAAAGTCCAGACGAACACGATGCATGGCTGGCATCGCAGCTGGCTAAAATCTTTTCCTTTTTACCTTCTCCAAGAAGGTTATGTTTCAGTTAACGTTTTCTTTTTTTTTTTTTTGTGAAAACGCTATGGATAGATTGTCATAAAATTTGGTAGGTGGGTAGGCCTTCAAGAGACCTAGAAATGATTAGATTTTGGCTCCCCTGGCGGCTTTTTGTGGTACTGTAGCAGAATTTTCGATTTTGGTCACACTTAAACGTAGTTATACTTTGTCATTAAAAGACCATTTTGATTAATCGAATTAGCTGAAAAACAAAAAGTTATCAATGTGTAAAAGTAGGATTCTATGCACTTCTTAAGTTTGTCTGATTCAGCATTTGATGTACTGGAAGAGTGTTGGTTGGAAATGATTAAATGCCTACCACACTTTTCGTTTTTCAAGCAGAATTTTGAAGGAGTCCTTTATGCCATTGAACTCTCATTCGACGGGAATATGAACAACTGTGCGGTCGTTAATGTCACACATAATGTAACGTCTGTAGAGGCTTTATTATACATTTTCCTCGCCATGTAAAATTGATCATGTATTTATCTCATAATACGCACCATCACACAAAACGTGGGGAACCAATTGATATTACTGTGAACAATTCATTTTCAAGTCTATTCATAATGCATTTGCACAAAAATATCCCTACTCAGCTCTCAATGCTGATTGACGTCACAAGCATGAACTTGTACGTGCCCTGGGAACGACAAGCCGCAAAGCATTCTGGGATAAATACTGGTAAAAATGGCCGCCATCTTTGTACCAAGCTATAATGATGATCTTAGTACCAATAATGCACCTCTGATATAATAAATACATGTAATGAACGTTCTAGATTTTCATGTCTATTCATAATGCATTTGCAACAAAATATCCATGCGTTACTCTCAATGCTGATTGACGTCACAAGCATGAACTTGTACGTCCCCTGGGAACGACAAGCCGCAAAGCATTTTGGGATAAGTACTGGTAAAAATGGCCGCCATCTTTGTACCAAGCTATAATGATGATGATCTTAGTACCAATAATGCACTTCTGATATAATAAAAAGACTATCGGGACAGCTAACAACATTTCTAACATTTGATTTATGATTAAAAGTCATATTGGAATAAATTCAGATAGTACCGACCGTTTTAGACTGTTCTTCAAATCAGCAAGGGACTTCCTCAATGCACGAGAAATCCACGTTTTAGTGATGCTTCACAAAGTAATTCCCCAAGCCATTAAACAGGATCACTCTTCGAAAAACACCTAATGGACTAATCCACCACGGATTACTGCACTCCGATGATAAGTGCTGAGTCGGTTTAGCCTTGATGCAGAAATAAAACACCATTTTTCGCATTACTAACGTTACTAGTAAATCCCTACGGTACACCACATGTTCACTTGAGTTTTCCCCCCTTGTAACTGCCTGGCTGTATCACCGGATAGATGACAACATCAAGTTCACACAGAAGCCTAGTCATGGCAATATACTCCCTTTCCTAGACACCAAAACTATCGTAGAGGAAGATGGTAACCTTCGTTTTGAAGTATGCAGGAAACCGACCCACACTGATCAATACCTAGCCTTTGATTCCCACCACCCTTTGGAACACAAACTATCAGTTTTAGTTCTTGCTTCTTATAAACCTGCATTTCTGCACAAGTTCTCTCGAGTGTCACTGACGGAAGGTAGTGGATGCTACCTGAAACGTCTGATCGTTTCCAAAATCATATCCAGTTGCTTGAGTAACTGTTTTTGGCGTGCATGGCTGTATCGTCTACTCTCCAAGCAGAGCAAGAGGTAGGTGTAGAAGATTGCGATCTTTCTATCATGTGCCCTGTTTTCTGTCGCTAGCCTCCACCAACCTCCACCATCGGAGAGTGGGGTCCGGTGGCGTAGCAGTAGCGTGTTCAGCCCAGACCCAAGAGGTCGCGGGCTCGAATCCTGCCCATGTCACCGATCTTGTGACCTTGGGAAAGGCACTTAACACGACTTTCCTCACTTCACTCAGGCGAGTACCTAGCTTCAGTTAGGGATGTCCCTCGGATAGGACGTTAAATGGAGGTCCTGTGTTTGGAAGAGCCACACCCCACGCACGTTAAAGAACCCACCACACTTATCGAAAAGAGTAGGGGACCTTCCCGGTGTGAGTGGTTCAAACCTTACTGTCTGGTCTCAGGTTTGACATCTTGAAAAAGTGACAATCACCTGTTATGTCAATCCTTCCACAAATGTGTTAAATCTTCATAAAATAAAATAAAACTAAAAATCATCACCACCTACCTCTGCTTGGAAAATGGTATCGTCTGCCATCTGGCTAGAAAGAATGCTGTTAGCGAGACAAAGCAGACGGCTTATTTTCTGGAAATGGTGTCATCAAGATAACGTTATCGCTGGTCTCTGTTATATCTGTCCATATCCACAAAGGCCAATTTGAATAGGGACTGTTGCGGAAATATAAAACATGTGGAATAAGATACAATTTTGCTCAATACCGTTTCTTGTTTAATACCACTGCTGCAAGGACCAATGGCCTTGTTGTTATTGTTGTTGTTATTGTTGTTGAATGGAAACGTTTGTGGCAACGGGATTCAGACCCTAACGATTGGTAGCTGTTTGTATGACTGTCTTTGTCTCATTTACATTGTATAGTGCAACATATAAAAGAATTTGGACACAAATTCAAAAAAAAAAACTGAATACAAAACAAGAAATGTAATAGTATTTGCCTTCAAGCTAATCGCATATGGTCTGCTCTGTTAATTCTTACTCTAACACATTCAAATATATCGTGGTAGGAGTCTAAATCCCTCCTACAATAAAATTGCAACATTATGTAACCCAATACCAGTTACCATGGTGAGAGAGAGTCTGTTCAGTGTTTGGAAAAGTAGAAGAAGAGGAAGAAACGTAGCAAAAGCAATCTGTTTTCTTTTGGTAAACATAACAAAGGCCTCATATTTTCAGATTCAGACAAAGTACAGTTCAACGGTTTGTTCTTTGAGCGTTTCATGAACTAGGTAGTAAGCGGTAAGATAATTCATCTGAAAAGGTGCAAATTTTGTCCGTTGAAGCAATAGAAAACGTTGTCAAATTGTTATCAATTATAACAAACCCTGCCAAATTATTTGACTTAAATGTTGGGTAAAAGTACGGCTAGAATCACAGTGCCAGAAGCGCATATCTCTTCCCAACCACTCTACAATAACAGAGTTTGGTGTATCTTAACGACATTTTAATAGACATCTATGACGTGCGCCCAACAGCATAATAATGCCTTACAGAGTTGTTCTCTGAGGCCCATTATCACATAAGTCCCCCAGCTAATGTACATTCGGCATTACTCTTCTTAGTAAGGACGCACTACATCAGTACACAGCCTATCAACCTGTCACTGATACGGGCTTTAATGTTGCTGGAGAAATATCGCTCGACACCAACGTGAGACGGCAAAAATCTAGATGTATTGGGTGGCTATTTTTCATGCTAATTAAACTGTCATGTTGACGATATCTCTAATGTTTGTACATGGTCTCAAGAAGAAACCATTTGAGTTTTAGGAGAGTGTGTGTAGTGTTGCAGATATTCATGTATAAGGCCACACCGACTTCATTTTATGGATGACATCCTCTGAAGACCACAATAATAGTGCGCACGGGCAAATAAAAATTCCGGCCCAAAACAAAAATGCTACTAAACCACAGAAATACAAAGCTGGTATTGTACCGTAGTACTTAGCGTATACGACAAGCCGGCACATGCTGGCTTTTTGCGGAATTTATGAATCGCCACTGTACTGAGTTATTGAGTCGTGGAGATTCGGTAGCCTGGGTGCCCGGCTCCGTATTGTCGCTAACTACTATGGACTACCCAGGCCTAGAGCTAGGCTATAGCCTCGGTGGACGTGATTTTTTTTGCGAAAAGGTGAAAATCAATGCGCGCGCGGATGTCATCCATAAAATTAAGGAGGTGTGGCCTAAAATAGGCTTGATAAACAGATTGCTGCTTTCCTCAATTGAGGGTCGGCTTTCAGAAATCATATACCAGTTAGAAGACAGTAACGATCCCCCCCTCCAATCTCAGCATGGAGAGTACCCTTGGTTGTGAACGGACGGCCCCTGAATCTTGTATTTTACAGCCTCGGCCTTGAAAAACGGCCTGTGAGAATGCGCATGGTAGTAAACTATCCACCCGTAAAGACCATAAGACGACGTTTGTCATCATAAAGAATACTTTGATCCTCTTGGTGATTTAAAAGAGATTGAGTCATCAATTTTACCTCGTCCAACAACGGTATTTTTCGATAAAATGTGTCGAAGCTAATCATTAGTTTTGTCACTGATGTATTGCAATGGTAGTTTTATCAGGCTTTTTGCTATACTGTGGAACGTAATAGAATTACTGAGATATTACTGTCAAGAACTGACAGGGACGAATTATTTCCAAGCAGATGTTGGTAGAATTACTGAGTTATTACTGTTAAGAACTGACAAGGACGAATTATCTCCAAGCAGATGTCGTAATGTTTTCTAGCAGCATCGTAATGTTTTCTAGCAGCAAGGTAATACGTGTATATACCTCTGTAGAGTGACTGAAGTTCAGTGGTATTTATGCACACTTGAGAACCATTCACATGTGTCCTATGTAGTCACGGTAGGCATTTGGGAGGGATATCTTTCTCTTGCAATTTTCTGTAATTATGGTTCGAAGCCCAAAAGAGTTGCCCAATATGAAAACTAGGTAATTTCCCAACAGAGAGCTTGTAAAGATCCTATGAAATGTCAGCTTTGACAGCTTTTATGTGGTGATAAGGAAATGAAATGGTTGTAAAGTTATCAGCCATTTGTCATGTTTTACAGGCATCCTGAAGATATTTCCAAGATGGCGGCGCTTCTGCTAGTGTTGTTGCCGTGCCTGCTGTTCACCCATGCGGCCGCTAGGTGTCCCACAGGCTGCACCTGTCAGCGGATCACCGGTACTGTAGACTGCCGGGGAGCCCATCTCAGCTTCATCCCGTCCAATCTCTCCGTCACCACGGAATATCTCGACTTTACCAACAACTCTATATCTAACGTCTCCAGGGGAGCTCTAGACGCGCTACAAGGGTTACAGTACCTCATGTTAGACAGAAACGACATCACATACATAGAATGGGACTCGTTCAGAGCACTGACAAGGCTAAGCGAGCTACATCTTGACCACAACAGTCTCAAAGATGCAAGGAAGGAGATGTTTTCTGGTCTGGGCAGACTCTCCTTGTTGAGTCTATCTTCCAACCAGTTGGAAACGTTCAATTTCCTCTACGCAAAGGATCTGGACTATCTAAAGATTCTCAAACTAGATAGAAACAAGCTGACGAGGATCCCAGCTGGAGCTTTCAACGGTTTGATCAACCTGCGGTATCTACATTTGGAGTACAACCAGGTGACGTACTTGGAGGAATGGACGTTCGCTGGGTTGTGGAGTCTAGAGTTACTGTATCTGAACGGCAATCGGATCAACGACACCTCCCAGCAAGCCTTTGCGGAACTGCAGAGCATCCGCGCTCTGTACCTCGACGCCAACAACTTAGAGAACATATCCTTCGAAGTGTTCAAGAACATCAAGACTGTTCACTTGGCTTTGCACTTGTCGCAAAACCCCTGGCACTGTGACTGCGACTTGCAGCGGACATTCAGTAAGATATACCAAGTTACGAGGCTTTCTATAGCGGACTATCCGAACATCACTTGTCACAATCCGACCGAACTTCGTAACGTTCCGATGAGGTCGGTTCGCCTGTGTATCGCCGAGTTGGTGACCATTCTCATCATCACGGCGACTGTCATCCTCGCCACGATCGCCGCCATTTTCCGGGCTGCGAACAGCAGGAAAAGGAAGCTGATGCGCACGCGCCACTGCCACGTCAGAGATTACTAGCCAATAGGAGCTCTCCTGACGCGCAATGATCTCTGGGATGTGTGACGTCATGTGTTAGGCAAAAGTCGATTCCCACAAACAGCAGGAAAAGGAAGCTGATGCGCACGCGCCATTGTCACGTGCGAGATTACTAGCCAATAAGAACTCCCCTAACACGCACTGATCTCTGGGAGGTGTGACGTCATGTGTTGGGCAAAGTCGATAGCAGGAAAAGGGAGCTAATGCGCACGCGCCTTTTCTACGTCAGAGATTCCTAGCCAATAGGAACTCACCCTAACGCGCAATGATCTCTGGGATGTGTGACGTCACGAGTGGGTCAAAGGTGCTTACAAGTCGATACCTGCCGCCATCTTGGCCTTGTATGATATTTGAAATTTCAGACAATACCAACGGGAAAAATGTACAAAGTTCGTTACCTTTGATCTTCTTTCTATACATAGCCTCTTAAACATATAGTATGATTGTATGTATTCGATTGATAAAAGCTGAAGATGATAATTGCGTGTCTCTTGTCAATAGTAAATTATAGTATATTAAGAGCCAGCTCGTACAAACCAACTTAAAATGTTAAGGGTCGTTGAATGCAATCGACTGGAAAAGGTTGTGTCATATCAGCCCAAACAATCGGACACTCTATAAAGCCTGTTGCTAGGTGATATGACATCATTGATCATGAAATGCGATACTTGTCTACTAGAACAGGTATAGTGACCTTTAATCAGGAACATTGTCAAAATGACTTGCAAGTTGGGCTGCAACAAAGTGTTACGTCTTCGTGGATCTAATGTAAAGTGTATATGTCTCTTTGATAGTCTGTATCTGCCCGTGTGTATATAAGTCAATTTGTTACGAAAACGAATGTTTAAAGTATGAAGGAACAATGTCACTGACTACTTATACTTATAGATAGCATCGCTGTATACTAGTAATATCTCATTTCTGTGTTTTGATGTGACGCTATGGCGACGAATGTCTATTTACTACCGTACCTTTGATTGGTTGCGTATGTTTAAAAAGAAATCTTCGTGTCTTCCTTGACCAACTATCATGCGTCATGCTTCTCATTCCTTTGCTCTCAGGCAATACTCATTATATATTTGAGTAGATAGATAGCTTCGCACGAAATACGACTAGCTACATCATTCAAGTGGTCTGCCAAAAAACATGAAACCGGCAAGATCTTTTGGAGAGAGATTTGTCACCGTTTTGGTGATCTGTGGGTGCATTGGAAAAGGTAAAATTCTAGAACATATGCCAAGAGATACTGTAAAGAAGTAAGACATACTGTTACAGTAGTTATGAATAAGCGAGATATTCTACGTTATATTTTGCGTCCAGTGAATAGCCTATCACGTCGGTGAGAGTACTTTGAGAGTCTAAAACCACCGTTAGATGGTATATATTGATGTTTTCCATTTTGAAGTGAGATGATACTACGTATACATAGTATATACCAAATGAATGGTACAATTCTTGCGTGCTCATATGTGATGTATATAGTGTATCTGGTGATGTTTTGTTATTTTAGCATATTGCACTTGAGTTTTTCTTGAAATGTCAGGGAAACAACGGTAAGGGCGCAATTAGTTATATCTAATTTGTCCACAATATTCCTGCTTTAAATTTGTATTTTTGTTTGTTATTTGTCATTTATGTGTTGTTTTTGTGTAGTACTATATCTTTGTTGGGACAGCGCATTTAGTTTATCTCAATTGTCCCCAATATTCCTGCTTGTATTGTTTGTGTACATTTCTGTGTTATTTTTATGTAGTATTATATCTTTGTTCCTTGTTTTATGTTCGATCGCAGTCTTGTATTTTCTTTTACGTGCTTTAATGAATAAAACAAAAAATAAAGTTTTGTTAATGTCTAGGCTTGGCATTGTGGTGCCATGTATGCCAGCAAAATAACGACCCCTACTGTCTGGATAACCCCGGTGTATACGGGCCGTATTGGTGTACAGACGCACAGGGCCTGCGGTGTTTCACATCGTGGGAGAAGGACAGACGAGGTAAACGTTTTTCTTACAAATAGACCAGTCAGTGTACAAAATACTTTTTTGAACCAACCTACGGCAAAAATTAGGTTGCCCATCAGAATTTTAGGTTGCCCCACCTATAAGTTACTACTTTCCTCAAATTAAGTAATGTTACATACGTAAGCCTTTGACAATATTTCTAACAGAATTTAGTTAGCTGATACTAGTAATAGCCATTAATGCCTAAAATTAAAACGTATCTGCCGGATACAGTGGTGCAAGCGAAGTGGGCATGATTTCGTGGGGGGGGGGCATTCTTAAAATTCAGGTAGCCCAGTGTGCTACCTAGGTTCAAAAATAGGTTGCCTCAAGTAAAATTTGGTTGCACGGGGCAACTCAGCAACCAGGTATTTTGCACGCTGCCAGTACTTCGATAATATGTCCATGAAAATGAGCCTGTAGATATTTTTCACTCCCTATGCCATAGCTATAGAATACTATATGCAAATCTATTGCTGAATGATACATGATTGACTGTAAATCGTAATGTTACAAGGTATGGCAAATTGTGCAAAAATCCATGCAACTAATCTAGTCTACAAAGGAGTAGACATTTGGGACACTGATTTAGAAAATGATGTCCACTCTTTACTAGTTCTTGTCAAAATATACAAACTATTTGATCAAGACAATCATCCTGTTTCTATATTATCTACTTTCTGGGTTTAACCTCTTTAAAAAAGAAGTCAAACCCAGTAGTTTTTACTAGTAGTTTCTTAGTAGTTATCAGTAGTTCTATGTGTACTAATTGTCTGTTTTTTTTAATACCAAATGTTTCTTCTGTTCCTGCAATTAGCCCTCGGGCATGAATTTGCAATAAAACATGACTTATATACAAATTAGTTTCCCATCAATGTACAAGATTGTGACCAAAAACTTTCATTTAACTCTCTCAGGCGAGTTGGTGAGTTTTCAGAGGGGATGTAGGCTAGCAGGCCGCGAGGGATGCTGGGAAGATGGCGGCCAGGGGGAGGGGTGCATGGAAACCTGTGACCAGGACAGATGTAACGGCGAAACTCTCGGCTACGGCACCTGGGAGAGGGAACCTTTGTTTCAGGTGCCCAACGTCTGATTTTCCTTCGCCAGTTTTTATCAATTTTTACATGAATCCTCAATACTTTATCACTGCATTTCATATACACTTACATAATATGTAAACATACATATACATTATATATAAACACAGAACATAAACAAAAAGATACATCTACTTACCCAATCTTCAATGCACAAACTCACAGACAATGATATGTTCTGGGCATCAGTCATGTTGTTTACACAAGGGAACTGTTGGGTTGTCCTTCTGTTGTCTTTGTCTCAGACAATAGTGACCAGATCTACTTCCCACCGCTAGGTGGCGCTGCAGTGAGATGAATGCGGTCCCAAACGCGACTAAGCTTTCATGCCCGTAGCGGGGGGGGGGGGTTCTTAAAAAGGTGGTCTGATTTGTATTAGTAGCAAGGTTAGGATCCTAAAACACTTTGCCATTGAATAAAAAGTTATCTCTGATTTTTCCTTTAAAATCCTCTCAAAAACGCCGGAAAAGGCCATTTCAGAAGGTTCAATTTTCAAAATTGGGGGGGGGGGATAAAATCTTAATCAAGTTTGTGGTTGCATTATTTTAACAGCAGCGCTATCTAGCAATGGAAATAAGAACTAACATGATGAACTATTCACGAATGATGTGTTCTCTTTCAGATTGCCGGAAGCGACGGTGAAAGAGTCGCCAAAAGCAACGCCAGTGCTCCTGCAAGTCTGTCTTCTCAACTGTTCAGCATGACAATCATGATAATTATGATAGGATATGCGTATTAGTGTTCACTCGGCTGATTTTAAAATATTGGTCTCAAAGTACAACTGATTATTGAAAGTTGTCACATGTAGTTTATTACACTGATATTATCATGTTCATGTATTACAATCACAATCGTCGACAAAATAAAACAAGGAGCAACGAACATATCGCATAACGTTATTCCAGCCAATATCATCTCTTTAACAAATAAAAAGGTAAAACTAGAAAGGTAATATTTGCAAGGCAAATGCATAATGTTTACCTTCGCATATGGTCTGCTCGGTTAATTCTTACGCAAAACATTCATATATATGGTGACAGCAGTCTAAATCCCTCCTGCTATGAAATTGCAACATGATGTAACCCAACACTAGTTACCATAGCAACAGACACAACATTGGTTCAGGTCAGAGATCACTGTTTGGAGAAAAAGATGACGAAGAAGAAACTGAGCTAAAACAATGTTTTCCTTCGGTAAACATAATTACCAGTTTTAAGTCAAGCTACGCTTCTTCTTACCAATGATTCCAATATTAGATTATCGTGTGCACAAAACAGTTCTGATTTCTAAGAGAATTTATCATAGTGTTTAACAGTATTTAGACTTCCCATTTCAAAAAGAAAACAAAGTTTTTGGATGTCTCAACGGCCTTCACACATTCTACAGATAGATGACATTTGCTTCTCTACAAATAAGTCTGCTGCCTGAAGCATCACCATAGCGATGGCCTAGATTGAAATAGTAGATTGTCTATGTAGGTATGAGTCTAAGTGTCCTGGAATATATGACACTCAGAGACAAACACAAATGACTCGTGCATTTTACTTGGAATAGGTTGATGTCTAAGGCTTTCTCAATGTAGAGAAGAGTCCTTGATGATGTCCACCTTACTCTAATTATTACATTATTATCAAGTCTAGATCATTTGTCTCAACAAAATATACCATCTTGATGATGTCTACCTTACTCTAATTATTACATTATTATCAAGTCTCGATAATTTGTCTCAACAAAATCTAAATAATTTCAGAAAATAATTCCTGCTCATAGTTTTTATCTGCTACTTGTCCCTCTATTTCCTCTGCCGGTACTTGTTGTTCCTTCGCAATGTCAGCATTATACCCGGCTGGTTCTAATCTTTCTTGTGGACCAGATGTCTTATAAACCTGGCTTGTCTTAAATGCCGATTTTGCTTTCATTTCATTGTCATAGTGTCCATCCGAGGTCTCTTCTTTGCTCTGCTCGAGGTCTCTTCTTTGCTTTGCTACCGGAAATTAGTTACCGGTATTCGAATCAATGTCTTGCTTTTTTGGGGGAAATTGGTCGTCGTTTTCGTAGTGTCTATCCGTATCCTTTATACATGGGTCCGAAAATTGGTCGTCGTTTTCGTAGTGTGTTTCCGGAGTGTTTTTGTCATGTCCATTATCTGCATCACTTGCCCCATAAACTTCACATGTTTGAAATGCCGCGTTTGCTTTCATTTCATTCTCATATTGTCTATCTGATCTCTCCTCTCTGTTTTGGTCGGTGTTTTCGTAGTGTTTGACTGCATCCGGATTTGCATCCGTAAACTGGTCGTCGTTCTCGTAGTGTCCGTCCGGATGAGTACCTCCATTTGTCTCCGGAAAGCGGTCGTCGTTTTCGTAGTGCCTATCCGGATTCGTCTCTGGAAACTGGTCGTCGTTTTCGTAGTGTGTTTCCACTGTGACACCCTGCCCGTCATTTCCCTCAGACACTGGTCTACGTTTTATCATGCAAATGACAAACACAACACAACAACAGAAGAAAGTTCCCACTCCTGTATAGATGATCACCTCTGACCTAGGCAGTCCATTCGAATTATTGTCTTCTTCATGTAGGAATATTACGTACTCGTCTGTTGGTGTAGTATTTCTTACAACGTTGTCTGTAGCATTACTGATCGTTAGTACGACGGATGCTATGGCAGAGTTGGTATAGTTAGTTGTCACTATGCAAGTGTAGTTCCCTGCTATGGTTTTGTCAAGTATGTTCAAGACTGAGGAGCACATTCTCTTAGTCTCCGAAATGTCTACGTCCGACCCTTTACAAGTCACCGTCCTGATGTGAGTGGAGTTTGTCGAGTACTCGTAACTTGAAGAGCTGTGCTCACCGTTCGGAAGAATCCACGAGAAGGCGAGGCCCTTTTCGCAGTATGTCTGACAGATGGCCTCTATGCCGTTCTCTCCTCGATTTTCTAATGTTACAGACACTTTGGGTGCTGGGCAAGTCAGGTCGCTCCATGGAATATCTTTCAGCCACATCATCTGTCCAGTGAATTTATCAATACATACCACACGCCACATCAGTGTATGTGGACTGCCAAGTAACCATCTCTTAGCTGCTCGTTCCCCACAGTCACATCCTATCTTGTTCATACCCAAGTCCGATACAGGTAAACTTGACAGTTCTTCTACACGTATTGGGAATGTTTTGATATTGTTCAGAAAACTCAAATGTCTAAGTGATTTCAGCAGCGCAATGCTTCGTGGAATGCTAAAAAGACAGTTGTTGTTCAAACCCAACGTTTTCAGTTTTGGTAGCACAGCAAAAGCTGCCTGGTCAACAGAATGTATCCTATTTCTACTCAATTGCATAATCCTCAGATTATGCAGTGCCTTAAAAGTATCTGGCTCCAGTTTCCTGATGTTGTTACCAGTAAGGTCTAGTTCCATGAGACAAGGCAAAGTTGCGAATGATTCTGACTGAATACTGGCAACCCTAGAGTCCTGTATACGCATGCTACCCAGAGACTTCAGAAGGGGGAAATCTCCAACCTTAATGTTTGTGATGTTTTGATGCCTTATACTTATTCTTGCCAAACTTGGCGCCAGTGGAGAAGGGATGGAATAAATATTGTCACGGCTGTGGTAACTGAGACACGACAGAGAGCCTTTGGGGCATCTAAAATTATTTGGGCAGGTGACATTTTGTCCTGTGACCTCCCAGGTAAGACACAACACAAGTATGGCCCGTTTGAAAGTCATCAACGTCGCCATTTCGAGTTTTTTTTCTGTGTGACAAGATTACACACTCACCAACAGATACCCCAATAAACGATGGTATCGCAGCTTGTTGCTTGTCACCGATGCTGTTATGTATTAGCTCAAATATGTAAATAAAGTCACAAGGTACATTATTATATACATTTTACAGCTGGCATTCGCAAAGTGGGAACAGGTATGGTACCTTTTGGAGTGAGTTGAGAAGGACCTTGAAAACCGCCTTGACAGTTCTTTACGTCTCCCCACCGTTTCCTACCCTGCTGGCCTCTGCGAATTCGGAATGAAAATGCACTTTTCCCCCAGGGGCTAGTCATGGCCATACATTAACCTTCTTCCTGCTGCCTTACTTGGTAACCAATACAAATTCGTTGCCCAAAGGCTACCTCAGCAGGATGGAGATTAACAGTTGTGCCTACTTTCGCAGTCATGAAAATGTGACGTCTTCCACGATTTAATCAGTCTAGAGAAAGAGGCTGGAGAGAAATTGGTTTACAGAACGAGAATACTGTACGGACGCAAAAATATCCAACTAATTCCCAGAAAATTCTTTTTTTATCACAAAACACAATGTGTATAATTATAAGCGCCGTGCTTCAAAGCTGACGCGCATACATAAACCATGACACGTGCACAATGACAAAATTAAAAAATGCACTGACCTCAATACATGACAAGTAACATACATAACACCACCCCTGTAAAAACCGTATCAAATGTTATAAGCACTGAACCATAAAAAAGAAATAAGACTCTTTAGATAGGTACATAGAATGTGCTTCAAGACAATGGTGACAACGGATTATTTCAAATGTTGTTTAAGTAACATCTAAATGTCTCATAACAGATCACAAACACCTAAGTTTATGTGAAAATTTGCGACTTTGTTTACTTCTCATTAACCACTAGTAGGTACCAAGGTACTAGGATATGCCACATGTCCTAGCCTTGGCCTGATACGTCATCTCCTTTTGTGTCACAAGAATCCATGACGTCACATTCCTTGGGTACGTCTTGCTGCTCCTCTGTGGTCTTCTGACACTCTGGAAATGTGACGTATTCCTGCTCAGAGTTTTTACCTGGTGTCTGTCCCTCTACTTCATCTGTCGGTTTTTGTTGTTCCTTCGCAATGTCAGCCTTATACCCAGCTGGTTCTAATCTTTGTATTGGACCAGAAGCCTCATAAACCTGACTTGTCTTAAATGCCGATTTTGCTTTCATTTCATTGTCATAGTGTCCATCCGAGGTGTCTTACTTGCTCATCTCGGTGTTTTCATAGTGTTTGACTGTCTTTGCTGCCGAAAATTGGTTATCTGTATTCGAATCCATATCTTGGTTTGTTTTGGGAAATTGGTCGTCGTTTTCGTAGTGTCTATCCGTATCCTTACTTGGGTCCGGAAACTGGTCGTCGTTTTCGTAGTGTGTTTCCGGAGTGTTTTTGTCATGCCCATTATTTGCATCACTTGCCCCATAAACTTCACTTGTTTGAAATGCCGCGTTTTCTTCCATTTCATTCTCATATTGTCCATCTGATCTCTCCTCTTTGTTTTGGTCGGTGTTTTCGTAGTGTTTGACTGTATCCGGATTTGCATCCGTAAACTGGTCCTCGTTCTCGTAGTGTCCATCCGGATTAGTACCTCCATTTGTCTCCGGAAAGCGGTCGTCGTTTTCGTAGTGCCTATCCGGATTCGTCTCTGGAAACTGGTCGTCGTTTTCGTAGTGCGTTTCCATCCTGACACCCTGTCTGTCATTTTCTTCAGACACTGGTCTACGCTTTATCATGCAAATGACAAATACAACACAACAACAGAAGAAAGTTCCCACTCCTGTATAGATGATCACCTCTGCACTAGGCCAATTATTGTCTGCTTCATTCAGTAATATTATGTATTCGTCTGTTGGTGTTGTTTCAGCAGTTTTATTTACCAGAGACACCGTCATTTCAGTATTTCTTACAACCTTGTCTGTAGCATTGCTGAACCTCAATACAACGGATGCTATAGCAGGGTTAGTATAGTTAGTTGTCACTATGCAAGTGTAGTTCGAATTCCCTGCTATGGTTTTGTCAGGTATGTTCAAGACTGAGGAGCACATTCTCTTAGTCTCCGAAATGTCTACGTCCGACCCTTTACAAGTCACCGTCCTGATGTGAGTGGAGTTTGTCGAGTACTCGTAACTTGAAGAGCTGTGCTCACCGTTCGGTAGAATCCACGAGAAGGTGAGGGCGTCTTCGCAGTTTGTCTGACAGATGGCCTCTATGCCGTTCTCTCCTCGATTTTCTAGTGTTACAGACACTCTGAGAGCTGGGCATGTCAGGTCTCTCCGTGGAATATCTTTGAGCCTCATTGTCTGTCTAGTGGCCTCATCAATACATACCACACGCCACATCAGTGTATGTGGACTGCCAAGTAGCCATCTCTTAACTGCTCGTTCCCTACAGTCACATCCTATCTTGTTTATAATAGCCAAGTCCGATACAGGTAAACTTGACAGTTCTTCTACGCGTATTGGGGATGTTTTGATATTGTTCAGAAAACTCAAATGTCTAAGTGATTTCAGCAGCGCAATGCTTCGTGGAATGCTAAAAAGACAGTTGTTGTTCAAACCCAACGTTTTCAGTTTTGGTAGCCCAGCAAAAGCTGTCTGGTCAACAGAATGTATCCTATTTCTACTCAATTGCATAATCCTCAGATTATGCAGTGCCTTAAAAGTATCTGGCTCCAGTTTCCTGATGTTGTTACCAGTAAGGTCTAGTTCCATGAGACAAGGCAAAGTTGCGAATGATTCTGACTGAATACTGGCAACCCTAGAGTCCTGTATACGCATGCTACCCAGAGACTTCAGAAGGGGGAAATCTCCAACCTTAATGCTTGTGATGTTTTGATACCTTATTTGTATTCTTGTCAGACTTGGCGCCAGTGGAGAAGGGATGGAATAAATATTGTCACGGCTGTGGTAACTGAGACACGACAGAGGGCCTTTGGGACATCCAAACCTGTCTGGGCAGGTAACGTTTTGTCCTGAGACCTCCCAGATAAGAAACAACACAAGTAAGGCCTGTTTGAAAGACATCAATGTCACTATTTCGAGTGGTGTTTCTGTGAGACAAGTTTACACACTCACCTACAGTCACACCAATAAACGATAGTATCGCAGCTTGTTGCTTGTCCCCGATGCTGTTCTGTACCTTGAATGATAAATGGTTTATTTTATCATTTTGATCGAGTCAAAAGTACATCGCAGTCATAGGCTGACTTGAGCACTTTTTTTAAATATTCAAAAACTGTTAGGCTCTTTACCGATTAGCGCTAATCTTATATTTGCTATCCACTACATAAAACACAAGAAACGCTACCTTAAAACAGGTATGTTGTAAGACGGATACGTCGTAGTAGCTAAAACATGTAAATCAAGTCACAAGGTACATATATACATTTTACAGCTGACATTCGCAAAGTGGGAACAGGTATGGTACCTTCTGGAGTGAGTTGAGAAGGCCGTACGTATACCACAGTGTGTGTTGTGCCAGTCAGAGCATGATGTCAGATTGAGAAGAGTGGACCTTGAAAACCTCCTTGACAGTTCTTTACGTCTCCCCGCCGTTTCCTACCCTGCTGGTCTCTGTGAATTCGGAGTGAAAATTCGCTTTTTCCCCAGGGGCTAGTCATGGCCATACATTAACCTCCTTCCATGGTATCCAATGCAAATGTGTTGCCCAAAGGCTACCCCAGCAGGCTGAGGGTTAACGGATGTGCCTATTTTTGCAGTCATGAAAATGTGACGTCTTTTGCGATTAAATCAGTCTGGCTATGACAAGGCAACACCAGACAAAACACACCCAAAATAATGTTTACTACTGGTGCTTCATAAAACTATAGTAAAAGTACCGTTTAATGAAATGAAAAATGGAACTATTGTGTGAGTGTCCTTGTGTGTGTCTGTGTGTCCGCATGGCCTTTAGATAAGTTTGTAATGGATATGGTTGGCCTCTGTCTGTCCCAGAAGGAAAAAGTCAGAGACATGCACATACTATTCTATTTTGCTGGTTGTATGCTGTTGCCCCGTCCTTGGTGCTGAATGTATTATTCTCAATGGCATTAAAAATATACGTTTACTGCTTTCCTTTTCCGATTTGTACCTCAATGAAAAATAGAGGTATTGTTTTTGATATGTTTCTGTGCGTGTCCATTTGTGTGTCTGTGTTTCCGCATGGCCCTTAGATCAGTTTGTAATCGATATGGTTGGCCTCGGTCTGTCACAGAGGGAAAAAGTCATTAACCACTTCTACATCTGGTAGCAGTCGCAGCTCTTATAAGTGTAACTTGTAGACACCATGGTGAATGATATGAGGACACAGTCATCATCACACAAGATGTAAATATTTCATGGAGGTCTGAGATCTTAGAATTTTTGTTTTCAAATGAAAACCAACAAAGTACTTTTATGTGGCCGATTATAGGGGCTGGAGATAAATTGCTTTACACAACTAGAGTACTAGACGGACTATCCAATTAATTCCCAGAACATGTTTTTATTACTCATAACACAATTTTTATAATCATAAGCGGCCTGCTTCAAAGCTGCCGCGCATACATAAACCATGACAGGTGCACAATGACAAAATTAAAAAAAATGCACTGTCCTCAATACATGACAAGTAACATACATAACAACACCCCAGTAAAAACATCAAATTATATATAAGTACCGGATTATAAAAAAGGTATAAGATTCTTTAGATAAGTACATATAGAATGTGCTTCAAGACAAAGGTGACAACGGATTATTTCGAACGTTAAAAAGACAGTTATTATTGAAACCCAAAGTTTTCAGTTTTGGTAGCCCAGCAAACGCTGCCTGGTCAATAGAATGTATCCTATTTCTACTCAACTGCAAAATCATCAGATTATGCAGTGCCTTAAAAGTATCTGGCTCCAGTTTCCTGATGTTGTTACCAGCAAGGTCTAGTTCCATGAGACAAGGCAAAGTTGCGAATGATTCTGACTGAATACTGACAACCCTAGAGTTAATCAGTCTGACTATGACAAGGCAAGACCAGACAAAACACACCCATTTACTGGTAGTGCTTCACAAAAGTATAGTAAAAGTACTGTTTCTGCTTTTTACCTCCAGGAAAAATGGAGCTATTGTTTTTGGTATGCCTGTGTGCATGTTCGTGTGCGTGTCCGCATGACCCTTAGATCAGTTTGTAATGGATATGGTTAGCCTCAGTCTATCCCAGAGGGATAAAGTCACTGAGATATGCATACTAGTCTATTTTGCTGGTTGTATACTGTTGCCTCTGTCCTTGGCGCTGAATATTAGTGAGTGAGTGAGCATTAAAATATACGTTTACTGCTTTCCTTTTCCGTTTTGTACCTGAATGAAAAATGGAAGTATGGTTTTTGGTTTGTCTGTGCGCGTGTCCATTTTTGTGTCTGTGTTTCCGCATAACCCTTGGATCAGTTTGTAATGGATATGCATGGTTGGCCTGAGTCTTGCCCAGAGGGAAAAAGTTATCGTCATATAGCCAGAAGACATAGACCAATCAGAGGGCTCCATTTCCTATTGGCTATCAGGCCGTAGCCTAAAAAATGTTCGGTTATTAGAATAACAGACTACCTCACCAGGGATTATCTCATCATATACATCTTGATGCGGGGCATTAACCATTTATTAATCACTTCTACATATGGTAGTGCTCGCTCCTCTCACAAGTGTGACTTGTTGACACAATGTTGAATGAGAAGAGGACACAGTCACCATCACACAAGATCTAAATATTTCATGGAGGTCTGAGATCTTCGAATTCTTGCTTTCAATTAAAAACCAACAAACTCCTTCTATGTCGCCGGCGTGGAGAGAAATTGCTTTACAGAACTAGAATACTGACGGACGCAAAAATATCCAATTAAGTCCCAGAAATTTTTTTATTACCGCAAACGGTATGAATTTTCATAAACGTCTTGCTTCAAAGCTGCTGCGCATACATAAACCATGACACGTGCACAATGACTAAATAATAAAAAAGCACTGTACTTAATTCATGACAAGTAACATACATAACAACAACCCTGTAAAAACTCTTATCAAGTACCAGACCATGAAAAAGGTATATGATTCCTTAGATAGGTAAAAACATTGTGCTTAAAGACAAAGGTAACAACGGCTTTGTTTCACCTTTTAGCTATTGCACCTGGTCATGGTAAATTTTTATATTGTTTAAATTGAACTGCTAGATTTAATTTCAAACATATATGTCAGTTAATTTTGGTGCAGTGAATGGTAGATACGAAATATTGGCTTATTGTTCTTGGAGCATAGAAATGTAGCTGTGCATTTGTGACATAGCCAAAAGGTGTTTATGTCCTGATAGTACAAAAGACTACAGTGCTCTTGCCTGTATTCTATCACCTGGCATATCTATCCAAATCTAGCATATGTAAGAAAGTTACAGTCTGAAACAGTATAATATTAGATATCTGTTATTTGTATATGATATTTCATACTATATATACTACGTATATTTGTTATGTTCAATCACTGGTGTAGTCTGAGGTGCATGTGCCTTTCCTGTACTACTATCACTGCTAGGCTGATGCTAGTTTCTGGCTCCTGGGTATCGTTATCTAGCAGCAAGCGCTAGGTAGCAACCTGTAGCATGCATAGCAAAGTGGATGTATTAGCCTGAAAAAGTGCTGCCTTCATACAAAACAGCTGTGAAACATCCAGCCTTGTTGATTTTTATGTGAGCTTCAAAAAACGCATAGAGACATGCACACTAGTCTATATTGCTTGTTGCATGCTACTGTACCTGTCCTTAGTGCTGAATGTTGTTATTCTGAATAGCATTGAAAATATACGTTTACTGCTTTCCTTTGACTCACAAAATGGCCTTTATACTTCATACTTATTACTTTTCTTGGTTCTGAATGATGTTTTATTGCATTGGATTGACTTGAATGCAAAGAAATGCTACTGTCCTTGGTGCTGAACAAAAACATTCATACACGCAAAACTGTTTGCCTTGTATGAATAACTGCAACATAACTAGTAAATGTGCCTCCGATTGATAATACAGATACAGATATCCCTAAAATATATATAACTTTAACTGCTAGTACATGTATAAATACTGCATATCTGTTCTCAAAAACATGAAAACCTAACACCCTATCAAAGATAAAAATAGGAGTGTTCAGTACTAACAAGATAAAAAAAAAGACATGCATGGGGATGGTAAGCTTATTTTAAGGCAGAATGAACAAAAAACAAGTGCACATATCCTATTAAAACACACATGAAACACACTATACCATCAAGGTCCCATACTGTATCCCTCTCTTGGGTAAGTATACAAACTTGTAGTAAACATTGTAGCTTTCTTAGCACATATAAAAGTACCAAAATCTCTCAAATACTGTCTGAAAGTGCAGCAGAAATTCTTGATATGATGTTACAAAGGCCTCGAGCATTTTAACCATCATCATGCAATGGATGCAAAACAGTGTAAAAGTTGTATTACTTACCAAAACAATAGCAAAAAAAAAGGTTAACGTAATATTTTCCTTTAAATACTAGATAGAGATGTTACTACTATGTGTTAAAATAATAGTCACCACAAAAGTAAAGAAATAGTCTTTTGTTCTACAAAAAAAAAGAATAAATGTCAGCTGGCACCAGGTCATGACCTTTTGTAAGGGGTCATCAGGTGAACTTTAACCTTTGACATGTAGTATTTGGTCAGTAACAAACATAACATTATATACTCTTTCTTATTCTTTGCAACCTATTGGTCCTGCCTATATGTATAACAATAAATTGCACCAAAGTAAACATAAAACAGATACAAGTCGAAGAAAGAAGTCTCCTTCCATTCTGTTCCTCACCTGTTTTCTTTAAGATTCTTCCAAGTTATTCTAGTACCAGACACGACCTTCTTTAATGTCTTCTGCTTTCTTCATGGGGTTTTCTGGGTCTTCGATGATTTCTGCCAGCTTCATGATCCTGTCCAGACGACTGGTACTCATCACACCTGCCCTGACTGAACTCATCAACTGAAGTGGGGAAGGGGGCGGGAGAAAAAAAAAGATAATTTCATTTTACGTCTATGAAGGTTAGACATCCAGGTAATAGGATACGCCAAAAAGCAGTTACTCAAGCAACTGGATATGATTTTGGAAACGCTCAGACATTTCAGCTAGTATCCACTAGCTTTCGTCAGTTTCAATACTTTGTGCTATATATTATAAACCTGCATTTCTCCTCTGGTCTCTCAGTCACTGACGAAAGCTAGTGGATACTAGCTGAAACGTCTGAGCGTTTCCAAAATTATATCCAGTTGCTTGAGTAACTGCTTTTTGGCATCATTTCATTTTGTTGCACCAATGCCCTAAATTACATGTTTATCAAAATACTATATTTTTTACTCTGAGCTCTGAATTTGTACCTGATTTTACAAATGACTTAAAGTACTAAGCCCTGTCACAGTTCCAAGTGAGCAATGTGCAGTTGTGAAGCATTGTGGTCAAAGTTCAAGACACATTCACTAGTAAAAAGTCCCCACTTGTCTAACATCTGTGTCCATAATATCACCAGGGTCCATAATATCGCCACTTTGAGAAACAGTGTGCTTAAAGATATTTTTACTGCAACATACTTTTGGTATGCACTCCTTCACACATAAAATGTACAAAACTAGGGTATGTTGCAGTAAGAAAATATCTAAGCACACTATTTCTCAAGGTGGCGATATTATGGACCCTGGTGATATTATGGACACAGATGTTATAAGTTTTATAGCGCAACAGTTTAAACAATGATAATTGTTTACAAGCAAATGGATCTTGACTTGTGACCTACAACACAATGCATCATGACTACACATGCACAACAATAACTGTGATGTGGCTTATACTTCTTTATACAAATGCACAAAGATGACTCTTAGTCAAGTGAGCCCCTTGTATGTTCTAGCATGCAGATAAAGGTCATATTGGACACAGCCTGAGAAACACACACACAATAGAAAGTTACTCCATGGTGATAGTAGTTGCAAAACGTAGCTGCAATGGACCTATAACATTATTACGTCACAGTTTGTTTACCGCAATGAATGCCGGTCAATCGACGTTTATATTGTACAGGGGTGCGTAGCGCGGTGTGTGTTTGTGTAGCGTTAGCCTAAGGCTTTTAATACAGTACTACTTTCGTCTGATGTCACAACTAAATCACCCATGCGGCATGTAATGCTGTGTCAACACAACTAGACGCAGCAAAAATCAGACATACCTTACTTTGAAAACTTTGAAATGATCTTTATTCTTTAACTGACCGTTCTAGAATGTTCTTTAGAACAGGTAAACAAACTGTGATGTAATAATGGTATTAGTATAGGTCCATTGATTGTGACACACCACACCAAGATGTAACAAAAACAACAGGAGATAATGAAAGCTGGAAAAACAGAATCTTGTAGAGAAAACAAGAGAGATCACCCGCAAAGTGTACAGGACAAAATGATACAAAGAAAAGGTAACTGTAGTAGAGATGGCTATTATTGAGAATATTCAAATTCATCAGGATAAACAATATGTAGCTTGTGCTTTTTAATGAAGTAACCAATGTTACAGCTAAGCTAGACTAGGAATTTTTGTAATCAATTAAAATGTAGTAGGAAATAAAGCAACTATGAAAAGAACCTGTCCAGATGATTCAACATTCTAGATGCTACAGGACATAAGTAGTATAAAGAAATAAAATCTGCACCCTTAAATATCTGTCTGGAACTTTTTGTAACACACTCAGTATAGCTTGATGACTGGTGTGCATTCTTAGTTTAAGTAAAGGGGTAGTAACCTACACAATGTGTACGACTATCACAGCGGAAGCAGATGCATGGATGGAAGCACACTGGAAAAGCAAAGTGTAGAGTTGAGCAGTTGATTGAATCAGAAATTAATAATTGTTATTTTTGAGGTGTGACATTCAGCATCTTGTGTCAGACATAGTTTCCTTTAGTTCTAGTCAGAAAAGGTATGGAAAATATGAAGTAGGAAAGAGATGAAATTAATATATGCAAAGATTTTCGACATGCAGTAAGGAGTTTTCCAAGATGCAAAGCAACAGCAAGCATGCAGATACTAACAGTACATTGTGTACTTCCACAGTTTTGTAGCAGAAATGGACACCTTTTTTGGTACGCGTTTTAAACGATCAGACCCCGCCCCCACTGCGATGTGTTGGTATGGCCTTCTTCTCCACCATTTCGTCGGTAAGGGCCATGATGCGATCCAGACGGGACAGGGTCACGTACCCCAAATACGCTGCGTTCATCAACTGGGTGTTGTGCATTTTTCAAAAGCATTCGGGTTACTCAAAACACAGTGCATTTTTCCAAATTATTGGTGCTAAAACCCTTGTCCTGCTGACATTCCTGGCACAATATTTTTCAATAATTTCATGTCTTAATTAGATAATAGACCCCCAATTTTTTTTGTCCTGCAGTGGCATAGTTACTTCCGCATTCATTGCATTTCACTGCGGTGTGATGCGTTGCACAAGAAATACCCCCAAATCGTACCTGTACGGGGTGCTATATAGATGGTACTGTATGTGCAGAACAACAATTGTTGTGCTCCGCAGGACAAGGGTTAAATAGTACAAATTTCATTTTTCAAACGCATTGGAGTTACTCAACACACATTAATTATTTTAAAGTATTGGAGTTACTCAATTCATAGTGCATTTTTCAAAAGCATGGGAGCTACTAAATACTTTGCATATTTTGTATTTGCATTACTCATTACACAGTGCATTTTTCAAAGCAGTAGACATGCACAATACACAATCCCACATCAAAGACATTCCAATATTTCAAAAATCTAGGGCAAACATGAAAACAAGCAACTGACTTCATAACAACCTCAAATTTTGAAAACTATAAGAAAGATTAAATCGCTACTTTTCAGAGCCATACAAAATATATGTAGCTCAAAAATTTAGGTCAGACATATTGTAATATAATAATCTGTCTGCCCTACATTTTTGAGCTGCTTCAATAACTATTCATATGGCTGCTTGTATGGCTTCTTTTGGGTGGATATTTTAATAAAGAAATACAATAAAATCTGTTATGTGAGTGGGGAGAAAAACAATACATTTTTAGAAACATAGTACAAGCATGTTTCCATGGATTTTGACTGAAAACCTGGAAAGAAGTAACATCTATGTCCATAATATCACCAGGGTCCATAATATCACCACCTTGAGAAACAGTGTGCTTAAAGATATTTTTACTGCAACATACATTTGGTATGCACTCCTGCACACCTCAAATGTACATACCTAGGGTATGTTGCAGTAAAAAAATATCTTAAAGCACACTGTTTCTCAAGGTGGCGATATTATGGACCCTGGTGATATTATGGACACAGATGTTATATGTACATGTAGACCATATGTATTCTTCTCTACCTAAAAACATATCAAAATCTTTTTGTGGACTGTTGGGATGTACATGTATATTCTACTGCATGATATGAAAGCACAAGCATATTTTCAAGTCAGAAGTTATTAGTAGAAATCCCAACCACCAAGCAACAAAAATATCAAAAGCAGACTGGGGCAGCAATATGAAAAATGAGTTCCATAATTTGTTTTTGAGACATAAATTCTTGACATATGCAAACTTCCTTATTTTCAAGTAGTTACACTGCTACATTTAGCATACATGTGCTAGCCATCATTTTGTAAAATTTAGATACAGCCTACAATATAGACCTGTACATTTATACCATATAAAAGTATAAAGTTAACATAATATTAATACAGCATTCAAATTTGTTATTTACAGTATAATATGTCAAATATCATCATACTTTTGTATAAAAAGCATATGTTACGATAGTTTACCTCTGTCCTGTAACAATGTAGTCTGATTGGTTGCCAATGGTCACATGATTGGAAAATGAAGTATTCTGATTGGCTACTGACCTGTAGGAACTCGTCCAGTTCGACCTGTCCATTCCGGTTTGTGTCAACTTCTTCCAGCATGTCGTGGAGTTGGTCGTCCGAGATGTCAATCCCAAGGTTCTAATTGGAAAAGGAGATGTTGGTGATGCTATTTCTATCAGATAAAGTTGTAAACTTTGTCATTAGTTGTAATTATAGGGAAAAAATGGGAAAAACTCAGAAGTTAGAAAATTGAACTGTGAGGCTTTTTATATTTCAGTCCATACCATGGTATGGATGAAATATATTGTGTTCTCTCATGTTTCTTCTCCTCCTTCTTCTTCTCCTCCTCCTGCCAAACAGTCAAAGGGATTCAACTCCGCCATCATTCACCTAAATGACTTGAAATTTGGCATGGAGGTAGAGTGGGCCTATACCCCCAGGCTTTTTTTTCATTTTTTTGATACATGCCTTTGAAAAGGTTTTATGAAGGTTTTTTGGGGCATTTTTTGCCAAAAAATGGGTTTTGGATCCTGAGCCCTGGTTTTACAACCAAATGATCTGAAATTCGGTATAAGGGTACCTTGAACATGTGTCTACAGAATAGCAGTCACATATTTGGCATAAACCACTTCCAAATGACTCATTTGGGGGACTTTAATGGCTATTTTCAGCAAAAAAAGGGCCAAAAGTGCTATACCCGTTCCATGTTCTATCTAAAGAATGGCCTGTTCCATCTGCTGTTGGCCATGGAACACGTGTTCCATTGCGGGTTACCTGAGGTCACATTGCACGTAAGTCGTGTGTAATGACCCACACATTCAATTTTATGTGCCTAAGACCTTCAAAATGTATCAAATCTCATCATTGTTAGTATTTGCATACCTGTAATAAGATTAGTAAAGCTTTCGAGATTCAATGTGCTTGTTCTTGCATCTTTGTTCTCAATTACATAGCTACTATTTAATTCATTTATTTGAGAATCTTTGCCAGTTTTACACTGGGGTAAGTTTGGAATAGTCCACTTTTGCGTGGGCGGGAGATGGACTGAAATATGCTGTATTTGCTCCCAAGCAAATGTCGGCCTCTCTAGTTTATTTATTTTTTTCTGTCTTGAGCTTACATCAGCCTGCTCGTGCTATTTCATATACATCACAAATTGTAATACAGCATACAGTAGTGTATGATCATAAAATAGTACCAAATGGTCATGGGTTCAATTCCTGGCGTTCCTGGTTACGCACATGTTGCTGACTTTCGGGTCGGAAGGTCAGTCGAATAAGAGGGATTGACCCATGCTGACACAGTGGATTAACAACACATTGTCCCTACAGTCTCAAAAATGCTACGAAACCCTAGCCTTGTCTTTTTTCCAACGATGATATGGTACTGTATTACTGTATGACTACAGCATGATTTTGTGTACATGTACATGTATAACTATATAAAGCTTAGGTCTCCGATCCCGTGCTCTGTGCAGAGCATAGGGTTTGGTGCCCATGTCTATTTCCATAGCCCTTGGGCGACACACAGTTGTGCAGGGCACTACAGCAGGGGGCTAGTCCGCTAGTAGTGCTGTGTGTTTGACCTTCCCATACTCTTTCTCATATGTGCTGAGTGCTAAGCATAGAAAGAAGTGTGCACCATTTTTTAAGCCTTTGGTATGACCTGGCCGGGGTTTGAACTCACGACCTCCCGGTTACAACGCGAGCACTCTACCAATTGAGCTATGGCACCGGTTATGTATAACTATATACCTGGATGATATTTCCCAGGTCCACATGAGTGATGAACCCTTTCGCTCCAGCGACCTTGTTGAAGCGTTTGGTGTAGCGTTCGATGTCGGCAGCGGGTAAGTTTGTGTCGGGCGTTATCAGGGCGCGTACGTCCAGATGAGCCTTACCGCCCATCTCCATGTACAGGAACTCTTTGGCTGCCTCTTCCTCCTCCTATAGACATTGACAGTTAATACTGGTCAATATTTGAATTTTCAAATGTCAAGAGCTCCCTGATTAATGTATTACAATTATCTGTACAGTTGTTGCTGCTTGCTGATTGAACAAAAGAAACGTTTGGAATGTCAATTGAAAGATTTTTTTTCTAGATTTTGGTATCTTTGACATATTTTTCACTTGGAAAAAACATTACCAAAATACAATATAGCACAATATTGAAATTTGTTATCAACCTATAAAAAACACCAAGTAAAATTTATACAGAATTTGCATTACTTTGGGCCCATTTTCTCAGTTCTTTGGTATTTTCCTAAAACCTAGTCAGCATATACAAATGTAGCATGTTGCCAGAATGTACATTTGTACTGCACCTGCATAAAACCCATAATGTATTATGCATAGCACTTTGGCAAAACGTCTCATATAAGGTTGTATTTACACATGCACATGTACAAGGTTAACATCCCACCTGTATAGTTTCAAAATGCTGTATAGTTTCAAAATGTTGTGTAGGAAAAATATCATCTGCAACAGGCTAAATTCTGATGCAATGTTGACCAAACATGCATCCAAAAAACGTACAAAAATCAGGGTTTTGGTCAGGCGTAGTACATTTTGCCAACATGCTAGTCAACATGATACTAATATATCCTCCTACCTTGCATCTCTGTTTGTTCCATCCCAGCTCCTGTCCCAGTATCCTGATGATAGTTGGGAGGGCGGTCTCCGCCGCCTGAACGTTCTGGAACGCCAGTCTTGTCCGCCTGGCGATCACATCAATGGCGGTACACGCATACTCCTTCGCTGCGTACTTAACCTGGGAAAAAACATTCAGTCGGGCATGGTGCTGTGTACCACTTGTAAAAATGTTTAGGTTCAAGTCCAAAGAAAACTGAACATCTGAAACTAGTTCCATACTTACAAATAAATTCATGTCACATTCCCCTTTTTTTTTCTAAGCCACCTGAAATCTTCAATAGTCAAAAAATTTGTGCTGCGAAATAAAGAAAACATTGCCATTGGGCATTGTCAAGTGTCAGCCTCCATAAATTATGTGGCCACAGATAGACATGCCTTATAAACAACATATCTTGCTTCTAAACCCTGGTAGTCAGCAGTGCTTGCTACAAAATTTTGTGGTAAAGATGCCCCATCTTCCATTGGGAAATGTTCACTGAGAAGTCCCTTTCGTATTTTGTATATGTCCTGGGTTTAGGTCCAGACCTGAAGCTAAACCTCTGGACTTGAATCCCTGGACCTGAACGTATACACAGCACTAGTTGGGCAGTAAATTTGACAAATGATTTTATCATTGTTGCCTTCCTGTGTGCCTCTGAAGGAATCCTTGGGGTAGACAGTACAGCAGCACCATCTAGCAATTTAGTAAAAAAACTGCAGTAGCAAAGTCGCCCTACCTCAGCCTCTAGCTTACACAGCAATAGTTGGGCATTAAATTTGGCATACGATCTACATGTATCGTTGTTGTCTTCCTGTGTGCCTCTGAGGGAATCCTTGGGGTAGACAGTACAGCAGCACCATCTAGCAATTCAGTCAAAAACTGCAGTAGCAAAGTCGCCCTACCTCGGCCTCTAGGTAAGGGAAGTCCTCCACAAGTCTCTTGCCCACCACAGGCCACCTCTTCCCTGTCATCTGGGCTAACTTGGCGACGTCAAAGGCCTTGTCTCCATAGGTGTGTGCCAAGTGCTGGGCAACCTGCAAATAATGGGAACAAGTATACAGATAAGTAACATGTAACATGCTGGAGTAGTCGTGTTTTCAATGGGTAAGAAAAATTTGTTTCAGGATGGTCATTTATTGGTTCATAAATGCCAGTCTTTCAGTGCTTGAGGCTACATACAGTTCAAGTTTCTGAAATGCATATGGAAAATGCAAGTCTTACATGGGAAGAAAGTCACCAGTTAGTTCTTTTCACTTGCCACTACATGTATTTTATTATACCCATTTTTCAAATCACATTCAGAGTAAAGTACCGGGTGGGGATGGCATTTCAGCACTAAGGAAAGGGATGGTACATGATGGTTCTGGGTGGGGATGGTATTTCAGCACCAAGGAAAGGGGTGGTACATGATAGTTCACGGTGGGGATAAAAACAATAGATTTTGAACTTTAAATGAAACAAAATTGCATTGTTAAAAGGACTTTCTTCAACTGTTGAGGCCATAATACGTCTTTCATTGAGCATTTTGCAGTTGATTTAGAACCAATTTTTTTTTAAATCAGAAAAAAATGGACAGGGCGAATCCGAAAAACAACAAATTGGTGTGGCCTAAATTGTCTATCAGAATGTCTTTAGAAAAACTTACCTCATTCTCCAGCCCAAAGTCCTGCACCAGTCTGATGAACATGGTGGGAGTGTATGCGTCCCCTCCCTCCTTCCCTCCCTCCCTCCCTCCCTCCCTCCCTCTCTCCTTCCTTCCTTCCTCCTTTCTTCCTTACCTCATTCTCGAGCCCAAAGTCCTGCACCAGTCTGATGAACATGGTGGGAGTGTATGCGTCCCCTCCCTCTAACATCAGTCCGTCTGTCTGACAGTCCTTATGTCTGGGCTGCAGACTGCACACTTCGATGGCCTTATCCACCGTGTCAGAGGCCATCGACCTGTAGGTCGTCCACTTCCCTCCTGGGGAGAAAGATATTATGAGCACGTCGGGAGACTACATACTGCACCTGCGCGAAATCTGCAATGTATTGTGCGTAGCACTTTGGCAGAACGTCTCATATAAGATCGTATTGATTCAGATTTATTTTCATAATCAAATCATAAATAGCTACATAAACATCATCCTATCATTTGAGGACACTGTCCAAAGCCAAACTTGTTTGGTGTCTTTCTTTCTATCCTGTTGTCCATTGAAAAACTAATCAACTAAGTATACATTGTCAAATTATTTATTTTGTGGCTCTATATACTAAATATTGGCTATACCATAAGAGAAGAGGTCCCACCTGTTCTAAACAAAGACATGCCTGCCTAACTACCTATGTACTTGGACCAGAAGCTGGCCCCTTGCTCCTCTTCTTGCACACACCAATTTTTCTTTCTGACAATATCAGTCATAATGGTGGCTAAATTATGGGTGGTGGGTTTAATTGCACATGAAAATCCTTTTCCCCCCTAAAATTTGAGAGGTTGAAGAAATTGAAATTCTTGTAGCTAGAGGGATATCCTTCATTTCCATACATAGTGTTTTTGCTTTAGAATTATTTCCTGAAAGAGATGGGCGCTGGAGTTGAGGGTCTGCAGAATCGAACTGAAACCCAAAATAAACTGCTGATTGGTTTGTAAAGAGATGTTGTACCTACCTGCAATGGTTACCAGATTGGAGGGGCTGACTTCTATCACGTGGTTACGGGAGATAGACTGGGTGTTCTTGGAGTTGGGATCAGACACCAGCGGTCGGATTCCACTCCATGCAGCAAGTACATCACCCCTCCTCACTAGAACAGGACAGATATGTATGGTCACCAAAACTGTTGTCAGTCTACGCAAAAACCCACATTGGAGTACACTATTGGCTATAACATCAACTCTCACAGTTCCATTTTGTACCCCAAAACTTATAAACTAGCCTGGGTGCCATCCTCTGTAGTTTCCGCCGGCTAGCCAGCGAGATTAGGGAGCCGGCGAAAGCTATCAAGGATGGCACCCAGGCTAAAACTGACTAAAACTAACGAGGACATTGTAGGAGATCAGTAATCCCTAAGGTATGCACACTTTATGCCACACCAATTTAATTTGTTGGTTCTCAGATTCGCCTCTTTGTTTTTTCTGATTTGCAAAAAAATGTTGCCCCTAACAGTTGACTCAGAGGAAAATCATTTTCTTCCTAGCTGTCAAAGTTTTTCATCTATCAATGCAGTGGTTTGATTAAAAAGTTCAAATATTGTTAAAATATTAGCCCAACCTTTTGTGTTGACTTCATGACTCCTATCGTACCATTTTGGGCCATAATAGGATGCCTAGACCTGTTTTTATTTCTATTTATTTTTTCGCCCTGTCGCTTCATAATTTTTCTGAAAAAATCCAAGAACCAACAAATTAAATTGGTGTGGCCTAAACCTACCTGACACATCAGGACTGAGGTAATTCTTGATCTCGTTCAAGATGAACTGGATCTCCTTCTCCGTGGGTGTGGGATTGTGGGTAACGTCGCAGGGGCTGTCGGTGGTTCCCGCGATAGTCAGTCCCGCCCACGGGAGGAAGAAGATCACACGTCCGTCACTCGTCGAGGGATCCAGTAAACCCATAGACTCTGGGCTGCAGAGAGCAGAACATGAAGTTTTGTTTGTTTTGTACATGTAAGTACAAGCTGTGTAAGACCGGACGGTATGGTTTGAAAAACTTGCACCAGGAAGGTCCCCTCGTAACTCTTTTTGATAAGTGTGGTGGGTTCTTTAATGTGCGTGGGGTGTCTCTCCCAAACACGGGACCTCCATTTAACATCTATCTACGAAGAACGTCCCTAACCAAAGCTAGGTACTCGTTTCCACCAGAGTGAAGTGAGGAAAGTCCTGTAAAGTGCTTTTCCCAAGGGCACAACGTTGGGGCATATAGGTGGAATAGAACCCAGGACCCATGGGTTCATGTTGTACTGTATCTTTAGAAAATAATAATTTACAGAGTGGTTCACTATCTGTGAATATTTTCATCATGCTGGTAAGTCACTGAATAAATTAAAGATCTTTTTACACAACCAAGTTGAGGTTTATTCAACCGACATTCAGTCAGAATTGCCCTGAGGAAGATGACAGACAGTCATCAAAATGTCAGCTGAAAAAACACTTGGTTAATATGTAGAAAGAGTCTCTTTATTCAGTGGTTCAAGATGCTTTGAGGGTTGAAATATGTATCAAGTTAAAGATTTTGGGCCAGGTATCAGAATAAGACTTAGTGTTTGTACATCGTACTACTGCTAAGGGAGACAATTCAAATTCCATTGACAGATCTATCAAGTAATGGTTTCATATATATTTTATAATATAATATTATTTATTAGATGTTTACTACCTTTTACAACTGAAGTGTGATCCACATTGCACACGTGTAGTACTCAACAAAGTAGATTGGTCTCACAATGCAGTTGTAAAACATATATAGGAGACATAGCACACCTGTAGTAGTCTGGAAGTATAATATGAACCCCTGCGCTGGGTTGGCAGATGTTGGGGATCTCAGCGTTGTCCATTTGTCGGACACCGTCTGTGAAGGGGCCGGTGGCGTTGACAACACACTTAGCCTTCACTGTGATCTCTTGACCTGAAAAAGAATGAGAAGAAACATAGCTGTTAGCAGTGGGTTCAATTCTATGATGTACACTACCCATTCTTACAGATCAATGTTTACTCCAACGTGGCATCGGATGGTGTAGTGGTAGAGTGTTTGACTATGAAACGACCCAGGTTCGATCCAGAGTTGTACCCAGGACATGCCCTTGGGAAAGGCACTTTACAAGATTTTCCTCACTCCATCCAGGTGTGAATGGGTACCTAACTTTGGTTGGGGAAAGTCATATTGAGGTCACCTTGTGGCACCCACACAGACCCATGCGACAGTTCCACAAAAGTGTGTGGAGCAAATATGTTATATGTGTATCATGTTTATTATGTGATTGTAAACCCTGCATCAATTCAGCGCTATGAAAGGTAGTGATTGCAGGGGTAATGTTTGGTCAATTGACCACTAAACCATCATATTTTGCCTTCAATGTGTAACTCTTAACCCTTGGCAGTATGCACTCAGATACATGAGCTACACATTGTATGTCATGTAAACAATTTTGGCTTTACACTATCTGAATAGTTAAGAGCTACATAATTGTTTATCTGACAGTCAACTGCACTGATTCATATTGAATCCAACACGGTCATTTTGTTAATTTTGCATAACCAGTAAATGGCCTCATGATCATCTATACCGGAAATATGCTTTTTCCATTAGTACACAACATTGGGATTCAAACCCAGAACCTTTGGATGACCTGTAAATGGGCCCATGATCATTTATGAATCGGGAATATGCTTTTCCCAAGTACACAACATTGGGATTCAAACCCAGAACCTTTGGATTTTAACTCTAACCACTTTGCCACCATTTACATGATTGGGTACTTCCTCACCAGTCAGACAGTCCTTCATGACAGCTCCAGAGATGACCTCCTTCCCGCTGTCGTCTGTAGTCTTGGTGAGAGACTTCACCTCCATGTGATTGGCCACCGTAGCCCCGTGTCGTGCCGCCGACAGGGCGATGGCCAAGTTCATACGGGCATCGTTATGTTGGCCTGGAGGAAAGAAAAACATAACTTTGTCAATGCTGTTCCTATACTTTCAACGATATACACTTGTTAGGGATTCTAATAGTGATGCACTGGTGCTGGCAACATGCAACATTACTTGCACCAGTCAAATTATACTAGGTCCTGCACTCTGCTTAACAAGGAGATTCCATCAAACTAAATGTTACAAGTATTTGAAAACCATTTCAATACTTTATTTAGCTCTTCAGGGGTGATAACAAATAGCAGAGAAATCAAAATCCACAAAATAACACTGTTCCTGCTCAGCTCCAATTTTACCAGCTCTAACCTGCATATATGCAGGTGGTACATGTACATTGTACTTTGAGGCCTGGTTGTGCATATACATGTATACAATCCAGGGCTTGAAATTCATTTCTGGAAATAGGTGCACTGGTGAAATTTTTGGGTGTACCATATAAAATAATGTGTGATATGTTTCATTTCTTAAAAGAAAAGTAGTACAAGAATGATACCTACAGAAAAAAATTGGGTGCACAGCTCCAAATTTGGGTGCACACCCAGTATTTCGACTCAAGCCCTGCAAACACACCTAACATCTATTTCTCTCTATATACATTTTCACTAAGATCATGTAAAAAAGCTATCAACAGATGCCATTGTATAAACATCTGTACAGCAGATATTTACAGAAACAAAAACCAAACACAATACTACACTACAGACTCTGGCCCTGATGAGGTGTCACAAAAAAAATTCTAGCACCACATTACCATCATAGTAGACGATGGCGCCGACCAGTCTGTCTTTCTTCAGCATGGGGAAGAGTTCCAGAGCACGAGACTTGGTCAGCATGTAGCTGGACTTCACACACTGAGACCCCGCTACAAGATCGTACGCCTTGATACCCGCCCAGAAGTACGGCAGCTGCCACCATCTTGGGAAGAACAAATGATTTTGTTGTGAGTTTTGATATAAGATGCATGTTATCGGTTAATAAAAATAATAAATTTATTGCGCAACAGTTGTACAGGGTACAAAGTATGGCATCTACTAACTTAAGTAAGTACATGTCAACTACATTTTCATAAGGCTAACCTAACTAATACAAAAGTGGGTGGCTAGTATGAGATAGGTATCAACTTATACAATCTTTGGAGGAGTTTCTAATATCCATGCATTCGGTGGCCTATGCTCCACATGGGGCCAAGAGTCTTTAACATTTATCCCTATGTATAGCATGTTGTCACAAGTCAATATGTATTTAAATTTTCTTTCCAAGTTCATTGTGGTAAATGCTGGAAAAGAATCTGATAGTATAGTGTATAGTGTATTGCGTATATCAATATATTTAGGACACACAATTTTAGTGATATTCGTCCTCAATAAGCTCTGGACAAAATGGACAAAAAAAAAAGAAAGACACATGCATGTTATGAGTTAATGAATAAGATACCTGTTATGTGTTAATAAAACACATCATGAGTTCATTAATAAAGTTGGTTAACAATGCAACAAAAGATTGAATAAATGTAAATATGCCCAACAAAACTACTATTTTTTCAACTAAACAAACTCCAAAACAGAAGTAATTCAGGAGTGACCATATTCGTTGAAAAAGACGGAGTAACACCTCTAAGTATTACAGCAACTACACAGAAAGTATATAGTAGAGTGGATTCATTCCTCAAGCTTACTGACATCTTGCAAACTGCAGTCATCCCTAAGTAAGTATGCTTGATGTCGGTTAGCTTTAGGAATGAATCCCTCTACTATGTATTACTACAAAGTACAGGTGAGACTTACCTGTAGACAGGTAACATGATAGGGAGTGGCCCTGACAGGTGCGGGGCTATCTCTAACAGGTTGGCTCGCTCGTGTAGGGCCTCCTTAACCAGGTTATACTGTACAGGTGTTTAAAACAAGTCTGTTACAGTTACAGACCAATACAGCATATCCACTGCAGCTAGAAAGTGCTGGCGGCCATGTTGGTGTCCCTATTTGCATTTCAATGGATAATGGACCAAATGTACACAGCATTTTTATGTTTTATTGTCAAGTTATTCACGATTTGAGGTGTCAATGTGACATTTAGTAATTTTATTTGAGAAGGTCACAAAATCTCTGAAAACATATGACCTTGCATTTACTGAAATGCAAATAGGGACACCAACATGGCGGCTAACTGAACAATGAGGCCAAGTGAAAACAATCTATTTATGGTAATTACTGTACATTTTCTATGATGCTACACATCTGGCTTGTGCTATAAGTAGTCAAGGAAGAGCCAGACAAGTGTAATGATTCTGGAGGCTCCTCATTTTCATAATGTATGCAGATGTATTCACCTGCTCCTTGTCCAGCCCCATGATGGCTTTCTGCAGGTACCTGACTCCACCGTGGATCAGTTTTGTGCTGCGGCTGCTGGTGCCAGCTGAGAAGTCATCTCTCTCAACCAACGCTGTTCTTAACCCTAATGATATCGAGACAATCATAAATTACTACATGTACATTGTAGAAAGGTAACATTTGCAAAGCAAATGTATAATGTTTACCTTTGCATATGGTCTGCTCTCAGACTGTTAATTTGACAAACACATTCACATATATGGTGACAGGAGTATAAATCCCTCCTGCTATAAAATTGCAACATGATGTAACCCAACACTAGTTACCATGGTGACAGACGTCTGGTTCAGGTAATTGACCTCATTTGTTTGGAGATGAAGAAGAAGAAGAGGAAACAGAACAAAAACAATAGGTTTTCCTTCGGTTAACATAAATATTGCCTACCTCTTGTTACTGCGTCCAGTGCGACCCCACATCCCGTCGCCCCTCCCCCGATCACCAGCACGTCAAACTCCGGGGTCTCCTGTAACGCCCGCAGGTTCTCTACCCGTGTGGGCAGCGGTCCTGGGGCAGGGGTGGGGGTGTCAGCTGCCACCACATGGGCTCTGTGTTTCTGTGAGGAACAGGTACAACAGGCTGTAATAAAATCCTTTTTAACTAGAAATCTAACATTTACAAAGCAAATGCATAATGTTTACCTTCGCATATGGTCTGCTCTGTTAATTCTCACTCAAACACATTTCATATATATGGTCAGACAGGAGTCTAAATCCCTCCTGCTATAAAAATTGCAACATGATGTAACCCATCACTAGTTACCATGGTAACATCTGGTTCAGGTCATTGACCTTATTGGTTTGGAGAAGAAGAAGAAGGAGAGGAAACAGAGCAAAAACAATATGTTTTCCTTACATAGCATAACATGTACAAGTAATACTATACAAAAGAACCAAGCATGTAGAATGATACTAACCTTATGATTACTCTTACTTCTTGAGTATGTTGAAAATGCGTAGACAGTCCCCGCAGCGCCCCCTGCTGCCAGTAGTGTGCGGCGCAGGCTCCAAAAACTGCTCATGACTCAACTGTCCACTTACATGTATGCCCTGTCAACATAACATACAAAATATTTACACAACAAAAAAAAACTTCTCTATTACAATAAAAATGTTGAATATAAGAAAAACATATTTTAATTAAAAGGAATATAAATTGCAACTTTGTCCTGTAAAGATTCACAGAGGTGGATTGTAAACAAGGCCTTGAACAATTGCGATAATTTAGGTCAATTCAATGCAGCTAAATGTATTCTAAATATGGACACCTGAAACGACTATCAAATGCCAATTTTTATCAAATCAAATGTCACAAGGCAAAGAAGGATAGGGTTAAAACCTGTTGACATTTGTATACTGCTAAAGTCTAGTATCAGGTCCCATTTTTGAGCAGAAGTGCTTTTGAAACACATTTTGAAATGTGTTTCTGAATGTCCATCTTCCAAACATAGACCGGTGTTTGACATGACATGACCTGTAACATACCCCTGTAGCAGAGAACATCATCATATTACAGTGGAGTTACTCAGGTTTCAAAATACATGTACTAGTTCAAGGGGCCTTACTTCTGCAGTTAAAGGAGGAAAACAAGGTGTTTTTGGTGTTAAAACGATTGGTGTGAGCACACAGAATGACTCAGCAACAAAATCTATATTGTTCACTATGTGAGGATTTCATAACACCATTATGAATACTGGTTGGTTTCAGACTAATTTAGAGATTATATGGTGATATATATATATAGGGACTACATTTTGTAGGTCTTGTCATTTTTTGCCTTTGCCAGAAAAAGACTAACACTGTCCTTAATTTTGAAATGTCCTTAAAACATAAGCCAGATTGCCACATACACAACATATGGTTTGTGTTCATGTCACTCCCAGCTTTTCTAGTGTAGTCATGTCACTATGTTGGGTAGGGGTTCAGGGTTGCTAAAACTTGTAAAAGAGGACTTTCAAAAAGGCCAACTGTAGTCTGGCTTTTTAAAATCAGAGAATTCCTCTGGGGATTTAATGTTATGAAGCCATGTTCTATAGCACAAAAGAGATCATTCCTCAGCTTGAAGTTATGTAGGTTTTAAAATGGGTAATTTCTTCAAGAAGTGAGCTTAGCCTTTTCAAAAGGGCCTATTGTCATGATCAGGGGTTAAAAATTTTACAATAGACACACAAATGAGATGATAACAGATTATCATGATTCTTGAAAAAGTTTGTTCTTGATTTAAAAACAGGTAGGTGTGGTCTTATTTACAGGTAGGCGTGGTTCTATTTACAGAATGATGTTGTTCTGTTGTGTAGTTAAAACAACCAAAAGTGTACAAATGTTCAAAATTTGACTCACAGTTTTCCCACCACTGAAACCCCAACGTTTCAGTGGTGGGGTTGTGTGGTATAGTGGCAGAGCATTCGGTTCAGAACCAAGAGGTCTCGCGTTCGAATCCTGCCAAATCACCAACCTTGTGCCCATGGGAAAGACACTTAGATTTTCCTCACTTCGCTTAGGTGAAAATGAGTATGCCAGAATGATCATTATCATGACCATGGGCATTAAAGGAAAATCATAACAATCCTATATTAATAATAGTCTTATCATTTTTCTGTCTACATTACATATGACACTTTATTATAATACATGATGTTAAAATGTTTGGCACAAGGAAAAGGGTTCATATCTAACAATGGCCTTTCAACAGTGACAGTGGTTACCATGGCAACGATATAATAACGTAATAAAAGTGAAAGTGGAAAGCTCAACAGCTGTGCACTGGCTCAAAAAAAATTAGATACACAAAATGTTATGAAATATAATATTTCGATACACCAAACAGCCTTAACACATACAAAACGTACAATAAAAACTTATGACAAAATATAGGTGTACAGATGTGCAATGTGAGATATATTATAAGTGACATTTATGACATTTGTTCCATATTTTAAAACGAAATCTCCCGCCTTCCTACTTTTAAATTTCGTTCTCAGCTCAAGATATGATCGCCATTTTGAACCCCTCGCCGTCAGAAGTGTCTAGAAATTCTTAAGATTCGACCAAGCATCTTACGTTAGTGCAAAACTCGTCAAAAATCGTGAAAATCTTACCTGAAAATTGATCAACACGACATGATAGCAGCTGACATTGCATCATATACTCCAAGTGACCCCTAGTGACCTTTGTTGGCTTGGAACGTTACATTCTGTAATAGGGGAGAACATAGTTTTGTAAAAAAAAATCCAATTCATAACAATATATAAAGCTTAAGATTATCTAAATATCTATATTCAATAGTTATACACAGAAATTACTATAAATTGAGACGTTAGAATTGATATAAATGCAAAGAAATTTATTTTTCCTTTTCAGTGGACTTTTCTAGGTCAGAGGTCACCATCGCCCGCCATGCTTGAATTTCGTCGTATGTCGTCTGATGACTTTAAATGTTTTGTTGTTTTCTGCGTTTTGCATGGATAATTTCAGAAATTTTAGCTCAGAAATAATGGATACTATATTTTTGCACAAGTTGAATGCCATATTTGTGTTGAAAAGGTGGGATTTGGGCTGATATGCATGGAATTTACTTGTCACCGAGCGCGCGAAAGTTTAAATTTGTACTAACCATGATACCTCTGTATTTACCCCCTCAGAACTTTCCAGAAATATGGCAGTATCGTAAGTTTCTTGTCATTTCCTTGTTGTTGTTGTTCTTGTTCGCTTCCTCATACGTGTAGATATGTCCGAGATATTTTTTATACCGATATATTACACAATAATGTCAATATTGAAGATTTACTCGGTCATCTTGTTAACCTTATGTCTTATATGTGTCAGATAATGCTAAACTCACTCACTTTATTCTTAGAGGCTCCTCATTGTTACCCTCTATGTACAACTTTAAACGATGCAACTCACTCAAAGTTACATTGGAGATACCAAGCGCTTCTAGCTCTGCTTGACTGTTTCTAACAGTCAATTAGATATAGAAGTCCAAATACTACATGTGTTAATGGTCCTAAATTCTACTTCTAGCTCTGCTTGACTGTTTCTAACAGTCAGTTAGATATAGAAGTCCAAATACTAAAAAAAATGGGCCTAAATTCTACTTCTAGCTCTGCTTGACTGTCTGTAAGTGTAACAGTCAATAAGATATAGAAGTCCAAATACTACATGTGTTAATGGGCCTAAATTCTCTTTCTAGCTCTGATTGGCGGATGCGTTTCCACCAATGAGATATAGGAGGTCAACATGTAATCCTTAATAGCCACTCCAGCTCAAGAAAATCTTTTCAAGATAACTTTGTTAGCATTGACATTTTTTTATGTCTCGGGGTGCTGGGACTTTGGTAATGGTATGTCAACTTTGTGTATTAAAATGTTAATTGTTTTTTGTTGTGTGGCACTGTTAATATAAGTTATAAATTTTAGTGTAGCACCACATTCTCCTTGTTATGTTTTGATGTTTTTGATGAATAAAAGAAATATGTTACACTGTGAGCATGACAAAAAATTGTATTCATCTAGTGAAATATGAAGCACATCGCTAGGAGTCGCTTTTGAGCTGTGGACAAAAAATGCTTGGCACTGAAATTGCGGCAACGCGCGTTTAAACCACTCCCCATCATGCAGCGATGTTGTCTCCCTAACTTTGCGCGGGTTTTCTTTCTACCAGACTTTCCCAAATGTGTCCCAATCTTAAGAATGGATTTCTAAACTGTTGCAATGTATGTGTATATGAATTAATGAATGTCTTTATTTCAGGTATTTCACCCATACATAGAAAACAACGGTACAAACATAGAAACACAAACTATACATACAACATCCTATAGCAGGATAGAGTAAATGTGTTTTCATGTTGCATTGTAATGTATTGCCATGTATTTTCCCCACCATTTAATTGAAGCTACAAATAGGTTGATAAATTACGGTAATACGAACATGTTCTTTAGCACTTTTCCCTTGACAAATGCACATTGTGAGATCCTCAATACACGAGTGGCCTGTGCCAATGGTTCTATATCTCCTTCTCACCATCCTGGCAAGTCTTGGGCATTCATTTTTTTTACCATTTTGATATAATACTCGAATCTGTATCTATATCTGTATAGCCGGTATAACCGCCTTTCGGCGTAACACACCAGCTTCGCAGGCACGCGGCGCGGCGGCAGCCGGCTACATTACACCGATCGACTTGTTACACCTAACCCTTGAACTTCTAACTCTAGACATTGTTTAAAGCTATCTAATGACAATGCCCCTACTGTACTTGGTGACAGTGAGTTCCACTCTGCGATAGTTCTAGGAAAGAATGAATTCTTGAACACCTCAATCCTTGGATGATAACTCTGGTACTGGCATGGCTATTTCTTGTTCTCTTCTGGGATGGTATTAGGTACTTAGTAGTTGCGACGTCCACTAGTTTATTAGTCATTTTGTACATCATGCATAGTCTGGACATTTCTATTCTGTCTTCGAGCGACCCCCACTGTAGGTTTCTTTTAATTTCCGTGGCACTAGCACCTCTTTCATAGAATGCTAATCCCCAAGCAAATGTATGGTTTCAACTTGCTTTTTATTACTACTTCCCCTCACCCAAACAGTGTAATAGGCCCGGGCCTAGTTTCATTGGGTAGCTAAATAGGATTGAGTTCATATGTACATTAATGCTATGGTGATACAGTAGATTCATTTTTAACAATACTCTTTGCTTTTGCTTGAATACAATATAACAGAAATGACAGAAACGAGCACTTCATAATGTTACAAACTTTATTCATAGCCGTGGCAATATTCATCATACAAAACTTTATATCATAAATCCACTATTTCATGTACAAATGTCGAAGCTTGGCTTTAGTATTAGTAAGGTTTGGTACAAAGCAACATAGTGAAAAGTGTGTTTGCGGGCACGTGACATGTATAGGTTTCACACGCATGCGTAGATGTTCCCAACACGGTTCGTGAGACAGAACTTATGCTAATGACCTAACGGAAGAGAAACTGACACAAACGTCACCAAATGTAGTACGTCATAACATCTGAAGTAATTACGTCATTGCAAGAGGGTCGGGACACTTATCATAATCTACCGGAAGTGACGTCATGATATATGCAAAACACTTGTGATACGGCAATGTCCCTCTACCAATAATAATCAAGTGCATTTTTTTTATCAAAGTCCAAATAACCACAAATACATACAAAGTGCTTTTAGGGAAATACTGAAGTGGAAGTCATCATAAACATATTGAAAATTCATCTTGAGTTTAAAATTCAAATCTTTTGCAACTATAGAAGTCGAAAACATGGTTTTACAGACAAACTTCATGAGGGACATCGCTATAGCTAGCATTGTGACATGGTTTTTCACTGCACATTTTTTGACATTACTACATTGAAAACTGCTGCACGGTATAGACTTCGCACGAACACATGTGAAACAGTAAAAAAAATGGCTCACGACACGGTCGCCATGGTAACGGGTTCTCTCATACGAGTTCCCGGATGTTGACGTCACCGTGGACGACATACACACTTATGTCTTGTCCAATGGTGTTACAATAAACTTGGGTGACTGACACTTCATTAGTAAGTACAAACGTGTAAAAATTCCCTACTCTAGGACACAAGACACGGGACAAATATTTATGCACATATTTTTCGCCGACGACACAGATTAGAGTCAACTTGGACTTGGGAGTTACATTCACTTTACAAGAGCTTCGTGATTTCTTCTTTGTGAAAAACATCCTTGGTACGTTATAAAGACTCCTTTAGATACCATGCTTGGGTCACTTGAAGCATTTTATCAAACTTTCTTTATATTTTGTTGTCATTTTTTTGCGTAGGCTTTTCATGTATGAATTTACAGTAGCTAGAAGAATAGCACACCCTTGATTCGTCCAAGCCTGGTAGCCAGGCTAAGTAGCCTGTTGTGGGTGCAGCTCTTGGTTTTCCGCAAACCTGCCGATGGAAGTAACAATACTTTTTGCAACAAATCAACAAGTTTGCGAGCTGTCTACCCAGAAGGGCGGCCTATTAGCAAGTATTGACTGGAAATTTCGATTTCTTGCCGGGCTAGGACGCTTCCCGCCTGGGTACGCCCCGGAAATAAGCCTCCAGGGGGCCCGAGCGCGAGCCGAAATGTCACGGAAACCCCGGGCGCAGCGAGTTAGATCGGCCGATCGATAAGTCCACTACCCGTGGCTCGGGCAGACAATTACGAAAATCATCGCCTTCATTTTGTTAAATAGGATTTTCGAGGAGGTACGATATTGGGGTAATACACCGGGGATATGGATGGAATCCCCCGGCTTTAGATCAGTTCAAGTGGTGAAATCACTGGATGTGTAGGCTCCCTCATGGTTCATTACTTGGTCCCACTACACCAAAGAAAGCCACCAACGCTTTACATCTTTATAACCAAGCCTCTATGTATTGTAGCAAAGTTGCAACATTTCATGATTGCATCTCCAAAGAAATTTCAGGAAGTAGAATTCAAGGATGTTTGTTTCAAGTAACCCAGGCATGGTATCCGACTAGCTCAACAGCCTCATTGATTCCAGTTCACATTCATACAAACATTTGGTTCCTTCAAAACTACATACAGAATGTCACATCTCGTTCTTGTCCAGTCATCTGGTGCTTCCTGTTGTTGTTTACACAACAAACAAGTGTTGCCAGGTAACACTCTTTTATTCGTTGTTGTATACACAACAATTGTTTACTGTTCCCCATCACGATAGCTCACCAGCCTTACCAAACGATCTTAGCGGTTGTGTTAGACCTCTGCTAGCTTTGGGTTGACCAGCATGAACTTTTTTTGTTGTAAGGCACCAAATATAAATAAATAGCTCATCATGTTTAATACATATACATTCCTCTCTGTACACGGGTTAGCATATATTAGTGTAAAGTACCAAATGCGCACCCCCACATAAGTGCTTAGAATGGTACAGCCTAACAGGTGCATAATGATGACGTAGAACACACATGGTGTTCTAGAGTAGTACTTTTTTGTGTTCTAGAATAGCAGGTGTTCTAGAACACTTTGTGTGGTCTACGTCATCATAATGTACCTGTTGGGTTGTTCCATTCTAAGTATCTGTGCGGGGGTGCACATGTTGTACTATACATTAGCTTCCGGAGCGAACAAAAAAAAGCATAAAAGCCAAGTATATTTTTTTTACCTCTTAATCAAAAAATGTATATCTTAGCATGTCTGTCAACAGGCTTCGATAGGCTATTTCAAACATAATTTTCTTAAAACTCAAAATATAACAAGCTTTAGAATACACCATGTCTGCTCTTTCTTGATCAAATAAAAATATTCTGATAAAGTTTCCTATAAATCGCGTTTCCTTGCAAAATGCCATCTGAACCTTCCCACATATAAGCCCTACCTCTAGGTTATAATTAATGGGTATACTAGCCAGGGTTTTAGATGTTTAAAACTGTTTAAAAGTCAACTTTATCAAGCTAAATCGATTATTATATTAACCAATAAAAAAAACGTTCGTTACACCCATGATACCAGCATGAGTTCTTACGGATATGAGATATTATTTCCTAGGGATGGGCAGTTCATGATTTTTTCAAAACTTTCATGTTTGATAAAATCAAATCAAGAATGTTTCTTGTCTCAATCACCTTCCCATCCTAAGCAAATAAGCATGTATTCCTCTTTTTAAAAAGTTATTAATTTGTCCGTCTATATTAATGTCATTAGGGCAAGAAATTAGATATCTTTTGTTAGCACCGTAGATGCTGACTGTATAAACCCCTATTTTCATCCATTTTGGTACCGTCCAAAAAAGGATGGTCTTTACCTCTCACTTTGTGTGAAATCTTACGTTTGTCGGTACAAAATTAAGAGAGTTCTGTTTTTATAATCCAAAGATGGAAGAAAAAGAAGGTTTTATACAGTCATATCTCTTTTGCACATGTCCGCATGGGCCTATGAAACAATAGTAGGAGTGTAAGAGGGGGCACTAAAAAGAGAGTTGGGCATCACTTCGGCAAGAATTCCAGGCATTTTCCTTTAGATAAAAAAGGATTTAAAAAAGACCACGCAATTTCTTTCTTGGACTACAAATCCAACAGGCAACAAAATTTCATGTGAAAAGAAAAAGAAGAAATCTACAGAACAAGCTTTGAAAAAAAGGATTAGAAAAAGCAAAATCCATCGCAAAGTGTAAGAAGTTGGAAACTTAAGATAAACTTTCTTAAGACAAAGAATCAGATTCTTGCTGTGAATTTTAGGTCAGAAGATTCAGCGGTGTGAAAAAATGGAAATTGATTTAGGAGGGTGTGTTTGGGGGTTATGGGCACCCCCTCCCCCTTCCTGCCTTAGCTTTTAGAATGGTAGGGTGTCCAGAAAGAGGTTGTCAATCATCGGAGGAGTGGGCAAGAGATCCTCGAGTTTCAGGTAGAAGATGCGTTGCAAGCCCTGCACACTGAGCGTGCGCAGTTCGGGCAGCTTGACCAGCAACTTGGAGAAGTAGTGCGGACGGTTCTGCGCATGCACGTTGTAGGTCACGTGGTCGCGGAGGGAGGAGATGATCTTGTTCTGCAGCTCTTCCACTTTCTCGGGCTCCTTCAGGCCGTGGCGCTCTGCGCATGTGCGAGAGAAAATAAAGCATTGGGTTACTTCTAGGGACAACGCCACGTTCAAGGTCATATTACAAGGTCAAGTTCATATTTCATGTGCAAGAAAACCACGTCTTTCTTAGTGCTTAACAATAGAATTGACAAAAAGTAGATAATCTTAAGAAAAGCACTTTCTAGCCATTGAAAACAGACATTTTAAAGAAAGTTTAAGCTGAAATTTCCAATACAAGAAATAGAACTAACCCAAATTTTCAACTGTATAACTCCAGTCTTTCTCAGGGAAAGAAAGAGCTCATTTCTTGACAAGGACTGGAGTTGTACAGTCGAAAAGTTCAATGTCTTTTGTTGGAAATTACAGTATAAACTTGCTTCATAATGACTTCTACCAGCACAGACGAACTTTCCAGATGAAATTCATTTTGCTATTGTGTTTTTCTTGTTTTTGTACATTTTTTAAAGTCGTGAGCTCACCTGTGATGAGCACGAGCGCCGCCATGCAGGCGAAGGCGGAAATGTCGACGTTCATGGCGTGTAGAGACTTGGAGAACTCCATGATGTAGTTGATCCACTCGCCGAAACTCCTGACGCACTGCTGCTGGTGGAGCACGGCGCCGTTACAGAACACAAGCCGCTCTTCAGATGGAGCAGACCTAAGGGGACCAAAAATGTCATCAGTGAGATTGTTGAGAAGTTGCAACAACGTCAAAATCATCACCAAAAACACTTTTTTGAAGTTTGAAGTAAGTAACATCATTTCATCATCATCATCATCATCGGTCGACCGTATTGGTCGGGGTTATACCGCCCCTTACGAGGTGACATACCCTTTTACGAATGTATCATCACGCCACCAGAAACTGGCCAATCAGAAACATTTTCAAAATTGTGTCAGCCAATCACAGCAAAGGTTGCACCTGTTGTTACCAGCCAATCAGCAATCTGTTAACGAATGAACCATCACGCCATCACAAAGTGGCCAATCAGAAACATTTTCCAAACTGACTCAGCCAATAGCAGCAAAGGCTGTATCTGTTGGCACCAGCCAATCAGCAACCGCTATGGGATTTCAAAACATCCAATCACAGACAAGGTTGCGGCTCACCTGTAGGCCAACCTGAGTACGAAGAGTTCCAAGCACGCGGATTGGAACAGCAGCTCTTGATCCTCCTTGAGGAGGTCGGGAAACCCCGGAATCTTCTCGGCCCAAGTCCGGATGACCTCGATGGACGAACACAGCAGGTCGTAGAACTGTTGCACGCGCTCCGTGTCGCTCTTTGGGCTCTCCCCTTCCTCCCCTGGCATTTTGAACTGCTCCAGAGGGCACGTGTGAAAGAGAGCATGTCCTTAGTATACTTTCTTTGCTGACATGTTGGTGACATAAATCCCATGGGAATTCAGCTGCAAGGTGGGAGTTTGCGAATGCACATTTTCATTCGATATGGTAACGACAACAAAGGACACAAAACCTGAACGATAATACAATAGGTTTTAAGCCAATCACAGCAAAGGCTGCACCTGTTGTTACCAGCCAATCAGCAACCTGTTTACGTATGAACCATGACGCTGGCCAATTAGAAACATTTTTTAAATTGTCTAAGCCAATCACAGCAAAGGCTGCACCTGTCTGGTACCAGCCAATCAGCAACCACAAGAGCATTTAAGAAAGTACAACGCAGTGTAGGTACTAACCAAGTTGTAGTTGAGAGTGGGAGGTGTTGGGCTGGAGTCGACGTGAGCCCGTACCAGGGCGGTGATGAGGCTGACGGGCGGGGACGGAGGGGACTGCTCCTGCGGGCTCTTCGGCTTGGAAGGCAGGCGGCCCCGCCGACCCTTCAGGCTGTCCGTGCGGACAACTAGAACGGGAAAAAAGCTGTTTCAAACTTACCCTTACCACTCATAATTTATCATGAAAGTTTATCTGTGTTGATAGTAAATGTTGAACTTTAGTCCAACATTATTTTCAAAGTCTTCGATATGACCGGGCCGGAATTCGAACCCGCGACCACCCCAGTGAAACATGTCCATTGCAGAAGAACAAGAACATGCGATACACACCTTCTTTGACCATGCCGACAGCCAGGCATTTCTGGAAGCGGCAGAATTGGCAACGATTCCGTCTTCTTTTGTCCACCGGGCAGTTCTTGTTCCCCAAACACACGTACTTCGCGTTCTTCTGAACCGTCCGCTGTTGACAATAAACAAAAACAACAACAAAAGTTAGACTCAAGGAAAGATAATCTATGTTGGTGATTATAGCATAGTACAGGGCTAAACCTTTGCTACAACATAAAACGTCGACGTCAGCGCATCGAATTTTCGCCTGCCCTACTTCAGTCTTCCTCTTAATTCAAGCGACCAATCACAGGTACTTAAGTCACATGATCACACGTGACGTCATCAAGGAAGTCTATACCGCCCACCGTCTCTGTTGAGTGAAGGAGTATTGAAACAAAGTTTTACTCTAAATCACCTTTTTTGTAAATGAAATCAACTCAAGGGATAAAAACACTTTTTCTACAACCTGGATGACTGTTGAGTATTTAGATAACGTAAACAGTAAATTCAGGGTACCTTGAAAAACCCTTTGCAGCCCTCACAAGTGCGGACCCCGTAGTGCTGACAGGCTGCGTTGTCGCCGCACACTGCGCATGTCCCTTCTCCGGTGCCCTTTGAACTCGACCCTGATGACGTCACCGGCGGTGGATGTAGCTGCGCATGCGTGATAAAACATACGAAACATTTAACAAAACATGGTGACAGACGTCTGGTTTAGGTCATTTTGGTTTGGAGAAGATGAAGAAGAAGAGCAAAAGAGCCTCAAGCTAGTCACTTCTCCAAAACAATTTCGTACTTAATGGTCAATCTAGATCTATTCAGGAATAAAATAACCCTGAGGCGTCATTTTAGCCAGACAAAGAATCAAAATGAGTCCTACTTTCTTTGCAATCAATTTTGTGCCTTTTCATTTTATTCTGGTGTCAACGATCGACCGGATTTTTTGGATTTTTTTCTCCAAATTTGCAGTACTTGTTCTATACATAAAGATTTTTCGTAAGGTTAAAAATCATCTATTACTAAGTACTAAGTATTGTGTTGCACGCGTGGAGACAGGCTTTAGTCATCGATTGAGTGGTGTAACCTACTCGAAAGAGCTGCTTCAAGGAGCTGTATAGCAACAGACGCAAAAATTACTGTTTGCTACGAGAGGGTCATTTGTAAATCACGCCTTGTTGGTGTGCTCTTCATATCAATGTAAAAGGTGTACGTATTTACCAACTGATTGAAGAGGTTTTGCTGTGCGTCAAACTACTTGAGACCCTATAATAAGCCAGTATAATATTAAAAAGCAAGGGCATATTGCCCTGTTAAGTTCTCTGTCTGCTCAACTGGTGACCCCTTTAGTAAATATCGAAATAGATACAAGAAACTCTGTTGAAATTTCAGAAAAGTGTACCAATTTGGCAACCGATTGTTCGTTACCCTACACATTTTGGCTTTGCTCTGTATGCTATATTAATAAGCAAGCCAAGTATAATGTTCAAAGCAAGACCTAATGGGGCACTAAATATGGTCTCTCTCTGCTCTGCTGTTCGTTTAGTAAATGTGGAAATGAGTACAAGAAAATATATTGACAATTGCTGTACATGTGTAACATGTGAGATGGTGTCCTTTGAACATTGATCATGGTACATGGGAAACTGGACATGTACCGTCCCGATTTGGACAGTTTAAGTCCTGGTCTTTGATACTAGCTGAGGGAGAGAAAGGGTTGTCACCCACCTGTTGCCCGGGCCGCATGTAGAGCGGCGGCGGATATCTGCCGATGCCCGGCCCGTAGAACTCGTGCTGCATGCCCTGGAAGCCGCCCTCGTACATCATGGGAGGGTACGGGGTGGTCGGCGTGGAGGGCGGGGAATGCTTGAAGAACATGTGGCCGCCGTGCGGTGACATGGGCCCCGTGCCTTGCAACATTTGCGTGTTGGTAGGGTAGTCGTACTGGGAGGAGTAGGTCGGGGTGGGGGGAGGGGAGGGGTTTTA